ATATATTTGGCTCGAAAATATGCAATATAATAAAATTAAGAGCTTGGGTTCTGGAGCCAGACTGTCTGGATTTGAATCTTGCTTCTGCCTCTTATTATGGATCACTGGATAATTTATTTAAGGTCTGTGTCAGTGTCCTCGTCTATAAAATGGGTAAAACCTGGTATTTTAAGAACCAAGTAAGCTATTGCGTATAAAGCTTTCAGGATGGTGACGGACACACAAGAAATGCTCCATAAAGATTACCTGCCGTGTCGTTGTTACTATTCTTACTACTACAACCACCCGTGCTGAGACTCCTCCATGCCAGCAAGCTCCAAAGAGAAACTTCTTCCATTAATAAGGCTGTTAACTGAATGCAGAAAGCATAATCTCCGACCATATGGCCTTAAAGAAAGTCAAAGTCCCCCTTTCGTCATCCAACCCCACTGCTTTTTAACAAGGCACACGTGGGTTCAAATCCCAACCCTCACCCCCCACCCGCCACTTACTTGACTTGGGCAAGTCAGAACTTCTCTGAGCCTCAGTTACTTCATTGATAAAGTGGGACAGCAAGAGCCTCCTCCCAGGTTAGCGGGTGAAGACAACATGAGATCACACATGCCGAGTGGCAGACACAGTCAGCCCTCTGGTATTTTCCACTTCTACTTCCCCCCTATGAAGGCGCAGCACCAACCGGGAGTGTGTGGGGGAAAAAAGGAAAAATGAACATGAAGCTCTTTGGGAAAGACGAAGTGCTAACTGCATAAATATTTAACAGAAGAGAGATGGTAACATTAAGAGGGATGCACTCTCCCTGGTGCATCAGCCACTCCCTGGCCGGTGGCGAGCAGCCCCAGCACCCACCCAGGCTCTCTGCAGCCTCCAGAGGGCCTCCGGGGTGCATTCCTGCTCACCGCGGAGCACCGGCCACGTGACCAACAGCCCCTCCCAAGGCTCCCGCACCAGTACAGCTCCGTCTCCCTCAACAGGGAAAGCACAAACCCATCCAGCACAAGCCACAAGACCCGAGACGGTCCTCAGAGGAGATCCTCACCCCCTAGCTCTCCAGCTACATTTTCCACCCAGGGGGAATGAGATGGTGTGACGGAAAATGGAGAGAACTCTGGAAGTGGAGGAGACCAAGACCCACCGGCAGCTGCAATCGCGGCTTTCCACTTGACAAGCTGGTTTGCCGCCACCGTGCCTCCTAAGCAACGGGAGCCTGGGTTTCTTCGCAGAGAAACCACACGGGGATACAAACATCTACCTTGTTTCACGGCTGGATGAATTTTTAAGAAAAACAGGTGCTAGTAAGCACAAAGCCTGGCACCCAAGAGGTACTTAATACACTATATCCCTTGTTCTCTCTAGTGACCCCACAAATTAATCAGAATCCAAATAACTTGAACTTTGATGAGCTAATTCCTAAGCCTTCCCTTATGTGCTCCAGCCTTAGATTCCAGATAGGGATGGAAGCAAGCAAGTATGAGAAACTGATTCAAAAAGGCAATGTCAGGCAAGGTTCTGGGGTCAGCGCTAAGCCTACCTTCTACAGCTGCAGAACCATGTGACAGGCACCGTGGCTCACAACCCGACCTTGAGGGCCAGAGGAGACCACAAAATGTGCAATTACAATCAGAACGTCCTAGTCAGTGAGGCAGGCGAGTGTGTCCCTCAGCATTTCCACAACAAGAGGTCACACAAAATGGGGTCTCTGCTTAACCCCCCATTAACCCAAAAATCCACTTACGCAGTACAGCGTCTTCTCTGAGCTTCTCGTTGCCCAGGCTTAGGCTGTAATTGACCAAGGAACCCCTTCCCATCATTTATACAACTTGCTCGTCCCAAACACTGGTGCAGAACAGGGCTTTTATGGGGTTAGAAGAGGCCAAGGGTCAAAGTTCAAGCAACACCACTGTGACCATATGATGCAGCGGAGCAGACCAGCTGGACACGAACCATGGCTGTGAGTGGGCAGAAAAATCCTCTTTGCCAGGTGTTTAAACCATCTTTGCAAAGTGGGCAGGTCACAAACTCAGAAAAACATCTTTGCGGAGTCACTTCTCATCCCCACCTCCCTTCACCGAGTGGGTGCCTGCGCTCTCCTGTTCGGGGGTCTGGCGGCGGCGGCAGCTAAACAGGACCTGCGGCCTAGGCTCCACCCTCCACCAGCTTCCAACCGAGCAACACCGGGCACACCACAAAAGCACATATACTTAGGAAAAGGGTCCAATGAAGGAGCGGTTGCGGAGCGTCCTGCTCCTCTCTTGCCCCCACAGGAAAGGGCATGGGAGAAAGGCACACAAGGGTTCAAACGCTCCCTCCACCCTTTACCAGCTAGGTGACCCTGGGCTAGTCATGGAATCTTTCCTGGGCTTGTTGTGAAATTCTCATAAAACCAGGGACCCTAAGCACCTGCCACGAGGGAGAATACTCAGTAAGTGCCTCTCATGTTCCTTCTCACGTTCAACATTTTTTATCGGCCAACGGGGGACAACGGTCCCTCCTCCACGCTACTGTCACAAGGATTATAGGAGATGAGTCTAAAAAGACATGATGACTAAAAGTGGTTTGTAATCCCTGATTGGATCCTGGTTCAGAAGAAAAATAAAAAAGCAGAAGAAAAACTACAAAGGACATTATAGGGACAATGGGGGAAATGCTGGTAACATCCCACAATGGTGGTGAGTTCCCCAGGCCCGACAGCGGTGTCCTGGTTGGACAGGAGAGGGTCCTTGTTCTTAGGAGGCACCCGCTGAAGGACTGAGAAGCAGGAGACCCGACTGCTGCCACTGATCCTCGAATGGTTCAAAAACAATGACACCAACCAACCAGAGGGAGAAAACAAATGCAGTAGTCAGCCACTGACCAGCCAGACCAGTGAATGGCAATCTTGCAGCCACATACAGATTTGAAATTTTTCCAGCTGGAGAAAGCAGGCCGGCCGAGAGCTCGATGTGCGCCCCCCTCCGTCCCTGCGTGCCTGGCACCCAGGGCAAGCGCCCGCGACCCAGCACCCCCCGCCCCACCCCCGTGCCGAGCCCCTGACCTGGCTGCAGCACCCTGATCTCCAGCAGGTTGGAGGTCCGCTCAGCCAGCCGCGTCCAGGTGTTGTTGTAATTCCTCCGCCACAGCTCGGCCACACACTGGTACTTGCCCGCCTCCGTGTCACTGGCTCGGCTGATGCTCAGACGCACGTTGTTGCTCGACTCGGCCTTCTCGATGGCCGTTCGGGTTCGGAAGCTGGAGGACCTGTCCCCCCACTGGACCCCTCCGTCCCGGGTGAAGGTCACCAGGTCATGGAACTCGAGGGTGCCTACCAGCTGGAACCGCCACGTCACCGACACGGGGACTCGGGCTGGGTAATGGGGTTTGATGATGCACTGCAGGTCAAAGGAGTCACTGTAGGTCACGCCCGGCGTGCGGGAGATGGCTGTGACCGCAAAGCCTGTTTCTGGAAGGAGAGCAGAGAGATTCCAGCTAGGGGAGACACCTGGCTTTCTCAGGGCGGCGTGCTGTAGTGATGGGGCTACCGGTAAAGCTAGCGGAGCAGAGCCAAGGCTCTGGGTCTCTCCTGATGCCCAGGCCAGTGTTACTATAGCTCTCACATGGAAGCACGAGCCCAAAAGATCACAAGACCCCAAAGACAGAGGCCAAAGGCAATTCTCCTTGAGCAGCACTAAGCAAATCCTTCCCAATGAAACCTTCATGTCGATCTGCCTCCCAACAGCCCCCTCCCAGGGACTGAGGTTTGTAGGAAGAGCCATTCCCAGAAATCTTGGGATCCCATGCTAAAATAGGAGAAAAAAGCCCCCAAGCCAACTTCATTCATTGCCTGCAAGGTGGACACAGCCCCCAGCCCTGACGCCTCCTCTGTCTGGTCCGCAGCGCATTGGGGCTGGAGAAAGGGGAGGCAGATGGGAGGACATGTCCCATGTTCCCAGGGCCGGGCAGTGGAGGCTTGCTCACCCATCCTTTTTCCACTTTCCTTGTGAAATCCAGGGGAGATGGGCAGTGAGGAAGCCACAGCAGGTGGCCTGATCTTGAGCAGGCGGGGACCTGGGGTGAGGTGGGCTTCTGCCATCACAGTACTCCTTATGGACAGGCAGCCGACTAATCCCTGATACCAACTCCTCGGCGGGGGTTATCTGAGTTCCTTCATCTTGAAACACTACTTAATATTAATACAATGGTTCTGCTCATAAAACTGGGACTTACTGAGCGCCGTGTGCCAGGCGTGGTGCCAACTGCCGTGCTCATGCCACACTTCACCAGGTCCTCAAAATGACCTTGTAGGACGAGAAGGAGCACCATCCGTTTCTTATGGACGAGGCAGAGGCACAGAGAGGTTATATAAATTGACCACGGTCAAGCTGCTAGTTGATGGCAGTCAGGGCTCTTATCAGGTGGCGTTACCCATGGGAAGTGGTTAAAGGCACAGACCCTTGAGCCTGATGCCCAACTGTGACACTTTCTAGCTGTGTGACAGTGAGCAAGTTACTTTACTTCTCTCTGCCTCTATTTCCCTATCCGTAAAATGGGTCCTTGTGGGGATGAAATGAGTTAATATTTGCAACATACTTGGCATGGAATGTACCCGGCCCGTGCCATATTTTGTTAAATATGTCATTAGCTGAAGAAACAAAAGACACATAAAGGAAAGTACTTTAAATTCTGTGGGTAAAAGACCAGGCACAGAATGAATCTTTTGGCTTTGTGTAGGGAGGGTAAGTCAGCAAACAGGTCGGCATAATTTGCTGAAAACTCTGGATCTTTAATTTGGATTTCATAAGCTATCTTTATGTATCCTTAAAATAAAAAAAGTTAAGCCCCAGAGACCCATCCTTAAGCCTGAAGTGGTTGTGATGGTCACTTGGACCCCTGCATGCAGTATACATTGCCCCGAGGGTGGCAGAACATAGGACCTCGAGGAGAGGACACGCACCAAGGGTTCCTGGCCTCAACACCCGTAGGGGAGAGAGCTTCTCCAAGCAAGGGACTCTGTCCAGACTTGACAGAGCACACGCCATGATCATGGTGCACGGAGCAGCCGGCTTACTCTAACAGAATGATCACAATGGCCCAGGGGTAGCGGAGGATGTACCCACCTGTTATCTCCCCGGGGCGCCTGCTGAGAGTGAGCCATATGTTAACTGCACCAATTTGAAAACTCGTGTGGGTCAGAGGCAACCTGAACCCACAGTGCCCTCCGCTCTCCCTGCCATATCCCCTTGGGCCGCCCTGATTATGGCTTTGGCCAGAGGCGCCCCAGGGGTAGAGAACAGGGAAGCAGAACCAAGCCCCAGAATCCTGGGGCAGAGCCCCTGGTGACCCTGACTGTGGAAACCACAGACATACGGTGAGTAGGAAAAATCTCAGGGGATTAGCGGATTCTGTGAGGTGACCTCTAGAGAAGCACTCCTGATGAATGCTAACCACTCCTTGGACGTCCCTAACCTCATAGTATGGGAAAAATGCCCGTGACCGGACAGCCAGACGCTTCCTCACAGACGCCATCCCCACAGGTCCACACTGGTGCTGACTGAGCTGAGCGGCAAACTCAACCAGTGGATGAAGCTTCCACAGACAGAAATCTGAGCAATACGATGACTGCAAGAAGCAGGACCAATCTTGGGGATTAAGCTTTTAGGAAAAAAAAAAGTGTGGAGGGGAGGATAGAGTACTCTGTTGAGGGCAAAAGCAGCTGGGGCTGCCATCTTTACGGGGCTGTGTCTAAAAGCGCCACCAGCTCTACCTATGAGTGGGCAACACGGTCCCAGGGACACAAAGCCACTGAGGACAACTGATGTCACAGCTGTCCTGATAAACAGGAAGACCTAACAAGACAACAAGCAGCAGACTGGCCTTTTACAATTTAATATACTGATTATATTAGGCAGATAAATGTTGATAGAAGCCTCCTTAACTGCCCGGTGAGAAGCAAATCTAATTCTCTGGTTTTAGCAAATCTCAAGGTATCTTTTTAATTTCATGCTAATGAGGAAGTGGCTTTCCTAAGGAGGTGCCTTATGGAGGACGAGACAAAAGCACAGGCTTTGAAAAAAAAAAATTGAGAGACTCCTGGCTTCCGTGGTCCGGATTCTGGGTGTGTCATTTAAAAGCTGTAGTCCTGGGCAAATGAGTTAAGCCGTCTCACTCAGTTTCCTTGTAAAATCGGGTTTAGCTCTTGGCTAGGTGAAAATGCATAGGGACAATTAAGCTTAAGTGCTTAGACTCAGCCAGGAACATAGTAAATGCTAAATAAATGGTGAATGGGGGATTTTCTACCCTTGTCTGCCCTGGACTGCAGGGCAGGAGAGCCTGGGGGTAGGCGAGAGAGGATCTGCTCTGCGGGGCCAGTTTTGGCAGTGACCACATTCCTCCACCTGGGGCCACCACTCCTGGGGGTGGGCCTCGCTCCCCTGACCAGAATTCTTCTAACTTCATGCCTACCACGCGGACGCAGAAATAGTGAGCGCCCCCACAGCTGCCACCAGTCCCCAGGGGCCCCACCGTGCACCCCTGGCCCCATCAACCCTACCTGCACTTTGGTAACGGCCCCCTCAATTAAATCTTTCGGAAGGTGCCATCCGTTTCCTGCCAGGACTCTGATAAAAGTCGGGGTAAGGTTCTTGACAGGGAAGCAGTCTCCGCACAGCCCTACAGAAAGACTGCCAGATGCTGGGGGCTCCTGGGTGGCTCAGTCGGTTAAGCGTCTGCCTTCGGCTCAGGTCATGATCTTGGGGTCCTGGGATCGAGCCCCGCATCAGGCTCCCTGCTCGGTGGGGAGTCTGCTTCTCTCTCTCCCTCTGTGCTCTCTCTCTCTCTCAAATAATAAAAAAAATCTTAAAAAAAAAAAAAAAAAAGAAAGAAAGAAAAGAAAGACTGCCAGACGCTTACTTACCAAGAGCCGTGATGGAGATGGGGGTGCTGGCCCGGCGCTCCCCGACGATCTGCCACTCGCCGTCCACGGCCCGCACCCATTCGGTCACGTGGCATTCGTACTGGCCCTCGTCCTCCTTCTTGCTGTTGAAGATGCCCAGGCTGAATGAGTTGGGCTGCACCTGCTCCATCTGGACGCCCCCAAAGCTGCTGCGCTCCCAGTAGGACGCGCCAGGCTGGACGGTGCCATCCCGGTCTAGCCACATGATATTGCTACGGCGGTTCTGCCGGTCCACGAGCTGCCAGACGACCGAGAAGCGGCCCTGTGGCCGGCCCGCCGTGCGGATGCTGCAGGAGAAGTGCAGGTTTTCACCCTCCAGGATGACACTGGCGTTGCTGGTCACCTCCACGGAGATGCTGCTCTCTGGGAAAAGGGACAGAGAGCCACACTGCGGCTTTCTGGCCCCTCCTGCACCCTCCCCGCAGACGTAAAAAGGAGGACGGGTGCAGAGGTCATGCTATGCAGGTGCCGTTCCCCTGGAGGATAAAAGCCCTCTGACACTCGCTGCCACAAGCCCTGGCTGGTTCTGGGCACTGTTCCCCAGGATTTTAAGATTCATAACCTTGGAGGCCCTTTGCTGCGTACCAGAATAACGTGTGGGATAAGGAGGGTCTAAGACCTGAGACTGAATCAGAACCTAAGAAACACAACACGATGACCTTACACTTGGGGCATAAAGGCATTTATCAGAGAATCTGTTCAGCTGGGGTTCAAGGATTTTTCAGCTCAGAAGTTTCAGTAAGCTGAGTGACTCGGGAATTCTACTTCACCTCAATCTTCCCACCCTTCGGTGCTACGGCAGACAAATAAATGCTGAACGTCCATAATGTGCCATTGGAGCCCTTCAGGGCAATATTAGCAAGCAGCCCAAAAATGATGGGAAGTACTTGGAAGAGAAACATGAGCTTGCTTGGGTGTGGGTAATAATGGCACAGCGTCTCGTTTCACAGAGGGGTGGGGAATAAGCGCTCATCCTTTTCATTAAGCAGAGGAACATACCAAGGCCACCGGCTCTCCATCCTGCTGCCCACATTCAGCCCTGGTTCCACTGCTTCGATCTTAAAACCTCCTGCCAGTCAAACTCTGGGCTAAGGATCCACTCACTCCCTTGGCTCTTTTGCTACTCACTTAGCTCCATGACATCACTCAATCAAATTATTTCAACTCTATGTGCCTTCTTCTATAAGATAGGGACGGTGGTATTTATGTTGTGCAGTTTTTTAAAGATTAAAAAGGAAACAAGACAATGTATATAAATCACCTAACACACAGGAGGTTTCCAAAAGGTGGTCACCGTGATCATGATTAACTTTACTACTGCCAATAACTTTTGTTTTGATAAATACCCTGGATGTTCGAAGCTGCCTTAATTATGCATACATTATTTTGTGCCATTATCTATACTGAGTTTTAAAAAACCCACAAGAATACAAAGCACCATAACTAATTCGGCTTCAATTTTCTGGGTACCACCCACATGAAACACAACAATTTAAAATCAATCAATTAAATCAAATCCCAGATTCAGAGGCATACCCAATCACGGAGGGGGGACCCGCAGACACCCATAACCATGCATTTGAATCGATCTCTTCTCCCCTGTATTTCTCCCACAGGCAGAAACAGACAAAGATGAGCACCGAGCCCCGGCAGGCAGTTTGTGCTATGGTGAGAATGCCTGCTATCCATTCTGCGCTGGCTTGTTCCACGTGAAAAATCCGTCTGGACAGGGTGGGAAAGAGGAGTTTTCCCAGGAGGGCAACCCCCAAGAGCCATACCAAGATGATTTCTGGAGGTGAGGAGTCTCCCACTTAGCCACCATCTACAGCACTAAGAGGCTAAAAGCATGGATTTGGAGGCAGGCAGACCTGGGCTCTAGGCCCAGGTTTTACTGCTTCCTAATTCTGTAATCTTGGGGTTCTTCCTTAACCTCCCCACGCTTCCATTTCTCATGTGCAAAACGGAGGGGCTAAGAGTTCCTACTTCTTGGGGTCCTGACAGTGACAGTACTGGAGGAGATAATTATGTCTCATTATCATCCTCGTTACTAATAATTCCTCTTTAGGTTACGGACTCATCCCCAGTATGATCATTCCATGTGAGGAATAGAAAGGACAACTCCACATCGAGGGCTAAAAAAGAATCCCTTCGATTGCCTCCGGCAGAAGAATAACGTGCAGGGTGTCCCTGCCATTCCCTACTGTCACCCCAGTGAACTCTTCCAGAAGCCCTGGCTGGGTAATGATGGGGGGGCTGCTGCTTGGGGCTCTGCTGCTCGAGCCAGCCTGGAAGAACCGCAGGGGGATATGTGGACCCCTGAGAAGAAAAACCAGGCCGGCGGACCGGGCAAAGGCAGATACAGAACCAATGTAGCACTGCCTGTTAAGACTAGATCCGCGCGTCCCCGGGCCTGAGAAAAAGGCAGCCGACAATTTAAAACTCTCTGGATTAAGCGAAAACTAGGACAGACTAATGAGAATCTGACTGCATGGGCGCCAGTGAAATTTCCAGTCAGGAGGTGGACAATGTAGCACAGGCTAAGCGCAGAGCAGTGGATCTGGAGTGAGAAGCAAATATTCCTAATGCCATGCATGCTCAACCGCTAACGGAACTGGCTGGGCCACTTCTCTGCAAGGTGCTCTCGCTTCTTCATTCATGGGATGGGTATGTTTTGGGCCTCAGGGGTGGGAGTGGAGAAAGAAGTGATCTATGCAGAAGTACTTGGGCTCTTGGAAGGAAAAGCGCCATTAAAATCCAAGGTATTATCACCATTCCCGATGTGATCATTGTACTTTGGTAGACTTACCCAAGTGGCCTTGGGGCAGGATCTGGTGGTGCTGAGGGACTTTAACTACCCAGTTATCTGCTGGAAAAGCAATATAGCAGGCCACAGATCATCAAACAAGTTCTTGGAAGGGGTGGGGGGAAATCTCTTAAGTACAAAAGATCTAGGGGAGTAAAACAGCGTGGCTGCCCTTCACTGGATCCTTACAAAACAACGAGGAATTAGTTGCAGATTTAAAAGGAGAGAGTCCGTGGTTAAGGCAAGCACAAACCGACAGAAAACAGTCAAGAGAGTGGGCATTCAATTCAACAATTTCAACTCTACAAATACTCAGCAAGCACCTACCCTACGCAAGGCACCATGCTAGGCATTGCAAGGAAAATTAAAAAAAAAAGTCTAAGAAACAAAATAATTTCGAGATAATTAGGTGTGTGTGAGAGATTTCAAAAAATAAATAAGTGCAAAAGAAAGGAATCCTGTTGGTGAGAAAAGAAAAAAGTGGCAGAAGACCCCTATGTCTACTTTTTCCTTCTCGCTTGAGGAGAACTGTATTAAAAATGTAAAAGTGTAAATCAAAACGTAGAGGTAACCTTTACAAGGCTAAGGGAAAGAACAGTTTGAGCAGCTGAGAAAAGGTTAAAGGTTAGTTTAAAAACTTCACTGTCTTGTTTAAAATCAGGGCATAGTACGCTTTAATTCTCTTTTTACTAAAAACAGAACTATGAGAGAACTGAGATGTTAATAACATCCTGAATCTAGGGGATGAGTAAACACAGTAGGAGCAAACTCAGGTAGTGCCCCGAGTCCCCAGCCACAACCGCTCCCCACCCAGACAAGGCCATCTTCCGTGGAGACAGGAGCCCAGCCATAGCCTCGGAAACCGGCTAAGCTTTAAAAGGAAGGCTATGCTCCAGGAAGACAGGAGAGGTCCCACCCACTGACTTTTGAAAACACAATTTCAATAGGGAAGAGACCCTTAGGGAAATGGCAACCCTTATGCCCCAAAACCCCAGACAGCAAATCCTTTTAAATAACGTGCTTTATGATTGAACATCCTCTCATAAAAGACCAACCCTCGTAAGTGAGATTTCAAGGTAGGCATCTGCCCACTTCTTCTGGGCATTTAATTCCCACGTGGGAGCAAACAGCCATTCCTGGATTCCTGATTTTCCTCCAAGCTGAGCTGGCGCGGCTGGCGTTTATAGAGGGCTGTTAACGCTCGGCTCTGGGATGCCCCTTCCAGCCTGCAAACACACTCCAATGCTCTGCATAACTGGGGGGGTTGCTAAGTGTGGGCAGGCGAGCCGGAGAAGGGAGAGAGATTAACAGGTTTCTCTGCCAGCGTTGATTGAACCCTTGAGTTCCACAAGCCCTGCCCTCCCCTCTGCCCACACCGCTCATCTGTCCCCCCAATTTCTCTTCAATGACGCCAGCTACAGACCAGACCAGGGGGAGGAGAAGGCGGCAGCACGTCTCTCTACTTACTGATGGGGAGGACTATGATGGGGATGTTCTTGGGCCGCTTGCTCTCCTTGTCGATGAACTCCCCGGTGACCGTTTTCTCTCTCTCTGTCACACGACAGTTGTATTTCCCACTGTCTTCCTGGCGGAGGTGGTAGATCTTCAGCACAAAGACACCATCGCTCTCTTTAGCCACTTTCAGCTGGCCCCTGGCTTCCCGATGGGCGAATTCACTGTTGAGGACTGGCACGGCGTTAGGCCCCATGCTGGCAATGAGTGAGCTGTTGAAGGCCCAGGAGACGGCAAAGTAACGGTCAGGAACGTTCTGCGCCTCCAGGATGCATCTGAACTCCACCTGCTCACCCACCGTGTACAGCCGCTTTTCTGTTTCCAGCCGAACAGTGAACTCTTTGTCTAAGAAAACAAATAACAAAACGGATGCATTCTGGGTGAATGCGGGCCCCACCCCCCACCCCTGGCTATCCCAACTGTATCAGCAAATTCCCACTACCCGTGCCTTCTGTGTAGTGCTAACCACAGGGAAGGCACCTCCCCACTTGTCTTGGGAGAAAAATCCAACCCATGTCCAGGGGATCTGAGGACCAGAGAAACTCCTGAATGTCACAGAGCGAACTCAATGGTAGCTAGCTAGACCCAGGCAGTCTAAGGGGCTTGCCATCCCAGTTGAGACAGAGGGGGCTCTGTTTGCAGCCTGTGATGCCCTGGATTAGACCCCCCAGAGGTCAATAAGGAATATCATTCCTGACATCACTTACCCAGGTCTAGCCCTGACCTATACTCCCAGAACTCCATTTAAGCAACAGAACTACAAACATTTTCTGCAGATGTGGTAGGACCCACCCCGCTGAGACGTGAGAGACAAAGTTACACAGTGGCCTAGGCGCTGACCCCAATGCTAAGAAATACTCAAAAGTGTACCTATAATTGAGATATGTTCTCCAGCCCCATGTGCACACTGGAAATAAGACACAGGTAAGACAATCCCTAACAAAATTCCGCAGGCAAAGTGAAAACAAATGTCTCTCCACCAGTCACCACCTGTCAGATCAAATCTCGAGAAGGAAGGGGACAGCTGCTGCCTCAGTTTCCCGTTCCCCAAAGGCCAGTCCTACGAGGCAGGAGTTGAAAGGAGCGGGTTTCGCTCTGCCACCCTAGCCTAGAGGAACACACCCACAGGGAACTGTGCCTGTATTATCTGTAAGACAGCGGCTCTGTGGTAAACCCAATTACAGTCACTTGACATCAATGATTAAAAAAAAAAAAAGCACCCCTTCCACATAAATGGCATGGAAGACATGCAAACAGGTGCCTGAGACCTCAGAACTTTCCATTTCCTCAGAGTTAGGTTGGCTCCCACTATGGCTTTCTACTTGTGGCAGCCAGAGACTCTTCTACTCTCGTGGGACGATCCCCAGTGGCTTGGTGAAGCCTTCCCATGCCCAGGTTGAAGACCCAAGACTTACAGCGAACCACCTCCTTCCTGTACAGCAATTGGTCCTTGGTGATGATACCCAATTAAACCTCTAGAAATTGATTTATGCTTTTTCCAATGCCCCCTCACTCTTCAGCACCCTGAAGTTTGGCTTCTGGCCCTTCTCCCACACTTCACTGACTTAGCAAATGTCACCAATGATCCGCCCACCCCCACCTCCGCCATCACACCAAAGGCTTCTCTCAAGCAGGTTTCAGTCTGGACCCGTTCTCTGCCCTTGGGTTCCATGACGCCTTCCTTCCTGTTTCTCCTCTTGCTTGACCGACCACTAGGTTTCTCTCTGTTTCTCACTGAGACCTGCTGTTCTCCGGGACCCTTTGCAATGACTACCCCATGGGCTTCCCGCTGGCCCTCATCCCTCCCGGGTTCAGCATGGACAGTGCTTTATCTACTGAGCATCTCTGTAAGATTCTGCATGAAGGATGGACTCCTTGACTAAAACTGACAAAAACAGTAGAAAAGACAACCAGGGTTGCCACCACTGGGGAAGCAGAGGCTTTGAAGCAGGACTTGGCATGCTCTTGATACCTTTCCTTCCCCCTCTCTCCCTACCCCGATGCAAGGAATTGCCCAGAGCCCTGGCCTCAGGGTACCCGGGAGGTGGATTCCTGTTCCGTGGTGGTGCTCCCCATTCTTCCATCTCTAACACCCACTGGCCTGCTTTCCAGGCACTGCCACCAACCCGCCCTGGCCTTATAGCTCTCTCCTACCTGGTCTCTCCACGGCAGGATCAACCTGCTTCATCAACCTCCCACTGGCTTCCGTGGTGTTCTCCTTCTAGAACCCAGATCTCATTGTGTCACTCCTTGCTTTAAAATCTCTATTTCCCCCTCCCAGTGTCAGCAGCAGTGATTTTCAAACGTTCCTTGGAGGGGGCAGGGGAAAGGGCAGTTTCTCCATGCAAAATCTCTTGTTGCCCAATATACAAAACATTTGGTTGAGGCAAGCGAGGGAACACTGTGGCCCTCAGCATGCCTTCCTCCGGGACCTCCTGGCAGGCGCCTCTAAAGGGCTCCTAAGATCCCAAGAAGGACAGCTTGCAAACACTGGGTCTATGGAGTCAAGGCCAAGCTCTGCACTCCAGCACGTGGGGCCTCAGGCCTCCTTCCTCCTCTCATCACTCATTTCCGGGACTCAACCTCTGCCCATGGCAGACTCCTCTCTGCTGGCCAAACACGGGACACGTTTTTGTGCCCTTATGCTTGTCCCTCTGCTGTCTCCTCAAGCTTCAGACTCAGCTCCCACTTAGTAAATTCGCTGCTTTTCCTGGATTTGCCTTCACTCTCCCATCCAGGGAAAACTTCAGGTTGTAAGAACACCTCCAAGTCACTGTGTCCCAGGGCACCGTCCAGACAGCAGCATTAGAAACCTCAGCACGCCCCACTTAGCCATCGGCCTTCACAGCTGCCCCTTCCCTGAACGCAGGCCCCAAGAGTTGTTCATCTCGGAATCCCCAGTGGCTCTCACCAGACCTTCACTGCGGCAGAGACTTACAGAGTGTTTACCGAAAGGAACTAAGGGAAGGGCCAAGATGGGGCTGCAACCGTCGAACCTGAAAAGCTCAGGGGCACAGAGTAAAGTCATCCACTTTTTTTTTTTATATATATCTAGTTTTCCCTTTGCTGGCTTAGTCTGAATACATTTGCTGGGCAAATTCAGAAAGTCCTAATCCCAAATTGGTAAGATTAAAATAAAGAAGATTAACTGATGCTACCTAATTTGAAAGCATTAAGATTCAAAATTTGGTCCAGACTTCTGAAGCTGATCTTAAAGCCATCCAGAAAGGGAAAGGATAAAGATGAAATGAAGTGCCTTCCCCAGATGTTTTAGTACTGGAAGATCCAGAAGCTGCTAACTGCTCTGGGCCCGACAGAGCAGATAAAGTGCTCTCTTTCCTGGAGCTGCCCCTTCTCATAAAAGCCCATCAGATGTCCAGAGAATCCCTTCTGCCCTATTACCTGTAGAGCTGTGCTGGACAATGTGGGCAGTGGAAGAAATCACCTGGGACGTGTACTGGAAATCCAGCTTCCCAGGCCCCCCAGCCCCACCCCAGGAGCCTGATTCAGGAATCTGTACCATTAGGTAAGTTGGAAGCACTGCTCTAGAAGGACACAAGAACAAGTGGGAGAAAACCAGGACCCCTGACTGTATGTAGCAAAAGGGACAGTGAGGTCAAGGTCAGGTCCTGAAGAGGAGACCCCACCTGTACTGCAGCTCATCTCCGACAAACCCCACCTCCAACTGTAGCCCCTCACCAGAGGTGAGGAACAACACAGGAAGGTTCTTGGGCCACTTACTGCACCTCGATGATGACACAACGAACAAAGCCAGGGCACTGAAGGCTCGTGGAGAGCCTGGCCCTGACCAGCCGAGGCAGCCAGCGACAGGGGTCAGCTCCGCTCTGGAGCCTGGCTGCACTCGGGGGCATGGGGCAGTCGGAGATTGTGGGGGAATAATACAAGGAGTCAGGGAAGATCCCAACCCACGGTGCCACCATCTTCTCACCCCAGCTATAAACATGTCACTCAGCCTCCTCAGGGAACCCCTTTTCCAGGTCTTTCACCAGAGAAAGCCGATACTCGCCAGGCTGGCTTCGACAACCCGCCCTGTGACTTCTCCCAGGGCCCCACCATAAAGCAACTGCCCTCAGCAACTGCCCCACCGCCGACTTACCTTGCAGACATTCTGAGGGACCCTGAAGTAATATGTGATAAAGTATTTTGGAAATTATAAAACACCACATATATTAAGACATAGTGTTAATATAAAATAATAATTTAAGCCACAATGTCCCTAGATCATAATTTCATACCTCTGATGGAAGGCTCATAATCTCAAATGTCTTCTACAAATTAAACAGGACTGGTCCCCGAAACAGGTAATGTCATCAAAGGGGGCAGCCACTGCAAACCCAGTTCATCAGATACAAATGGTTTATGTGAAATCTCCTAATTTTTTAAAATGAATTTGTAATTCAAGAAAAAATATAAAATTCGACGTGGGTCCAAGAAACCATGTCTGTAAGCCAGATTCGGTCTGGCCTGCTCCTCTCCAAGACTCACTAGAAGGTCAGATCTTAGTTAGGCTCCCTCTACATTCCTAGTACTTTCAGAGGTCACCAGAGAAGAAGTCTGCACACCCTCCCGGCAATGGACAACCCTCACCACCACGTAGAGAGTGGGGACAAGAGAGAGACTGACCCGTGGGCTGGACGTTGACCACTGTTCCCTCGGAACGCTTTCGGGTCATGGCATACCACGAGCCGTCCGGGTCCTGGATCCACTCGGCAGCCTCACAGTAGAACTCGCCCTGGTCGGAGGGCTGCAGGTGGAAGACGGTGAGGCGGAAGGTGGTGCTCCCCAGCTTGTCCAGCCGCACCTCCCCCAGGCTCTGCCTCTGGGCGTACTCGCTGCTGGAGTGCAGCACGAAGTCTCGACTCAGGGAAATGACCTCCGCGGGCTTCTCGCCCACTCGCTGCCGGAGCCAGGCCACAGACAGGTGGCTGTGCTGGAGCGTCTCCGTGGCCACCTCACACGTGAGCTCCAGGGGGTCCTGCTCCACTTTGTGCAGAGTCTGGGGCACGGCCGTGGTCTGCAGGGTGTCGGGGATCACTGCAACACAGAAATGTCCCGGGAACCCAGTCACAAAGCCACAGAACCTCACCCTCGCGGCGGGGAGGGGGTTAGCCACCCACCCCCCACTGCCTTCAACAGTCACCGTGAGGCCACGGGTGACCCCGGATGGCACAGAAACAGAAGGATTTGCCCGCTTGGATTTGGACTGCAATTTTTTGGCACTTACACTTACCTGTTTGGTATTTTAATAACACTCGGATAACAGGTAGGATGTATTTTGTTTCCCATAGTAAGTGAACTCCCTGAAAATACCATGTAAAGAATTCTCTTTTAGGCCAAATGAGATTTTGTTGTTCATTTTGGTACTGCTTCAAGATACTTTCACTTGGCTTCTGACCGATCTTCAAAAAGAAATCATTCCTAGAAGTTGCAGTTTTATGTGTCTGTGCACCTTGCTGACTTCCTCCCCTTTCGCGGCCCCACCCCCAAGTGTCCCCCCACCCCCATCCCGCCAACTCACTTCAGCAATGCAATCCTCTAGCAAGGCTATGTTGTAAAAAAAAAAAAAAAAAAAAAAAAAAGATCTTTGGTAGAGGAAAGCAACAACATCCTCAGTTGTCTGGCAGGTTGAATTTTCCTACAATGCATGTGTCAGAGTGGTCGGCGCTGGAAGGAAGCCTAGGTTCGGGCATTGCCCCATGGCATCTTGGTCAGAAATGTACTCTGGAGACTAAACACCCCCCTTCTCGGACTGATGGGGTGTGATGGGGACACCCCAGTCACAGTGTTGTCTTTTCTCAATGCATGATCTCAGGCCTGGGTCTCACAGGCCTCCTGATGGGATGCAGACTGAGAGAAAGGAAAAGCAAGTATGGCGTGGGGTGGGGAGGGGGAGATTTCAGTGTGGACAGCACTGGGCTGCAATGTTCACCCACGTGGAGAGTCAACAATATCAAGGCTGTTCTGTTTTTCTGCTCACATCATAATTTCCAAGCATAATTGTGATAATAAAAACTGGAAATTAAGACGTGGGCAGAAAAACAGATGTGGGAAAATTAAGATGTGGGCAGAAAACAGAACAGCCTTGATATCGTTGACCCTTCACGTCAGCAAGCGTGGTGGCCCACGGCTGTCCACACTGAAATCTGTCCCCTCCCCTCCTGCCAACTCCCTCCATCACTCAGGGAGCAAGAGGGCCAAGGGAGAGGGCTGGTGCATAATTCCTTACTCGCGTAGCCAAAGGACCTAGGGGCGAGCTCCGGGTGTGAGCAAGGAAGGACCTGCAGGTGCATTTGCTTCCTGATTCAGCAGTGCCCCAGGGGTCTCAGAGCCCCTCCACTGCCCAGCGGTTTCACTTCTCTGCTAGCTGATGTCATATGCTCCATCTTCGTCCTTTCTTCAGACAGATCATCAACCACAAATGTCCCTGCCTTCTATTTTCATATCCCCTTTCGCCAGCTACAGGGTCAGTTAACCTTCTCTGAATTCTTGACATATGCACTCGATTCTTTCCTAAGTTTTAGCCTCAGCCTTCTATTATTTACAAATGAACCCACAACCTTTGTTCACTCATGCTACCAGTTAACCACTAAGATATCTGGGGAGCTTTGGATTTTTGTTTTTGTTTTTTAAGTGAAATAAAGTTGCACTAAAAAAAGAAGTGACTCAGTGATCTGGACTCAATGTTTATTTCCTCCCCTCCCCCACAATCCATATGGTAAATCCTAATCTTTCCTCCCCCACCCCCCCCAATGGTGTTTGGAAGTGAGGCCTCTGGGAGGTGATGAGGTCATGGAGGGGGAGCCCTCCTGAATGGGATTAGTGCCCTCAGAAAGGGACCTCGGTGAGCTCTCTCATTCCCTTTCTGCCATGGGAGGACACAATGAGAAATCAAAAGTTGGCAACCCAGAAGTGGGCCCTCACCAGAACCAACTGTGCCTGCCACCTTGACCTTGGGCTTCCAGCCTCCAGAACTGTAAGAAATAAACATTTGTGGTTTCAGCCAGCCAGGCTGTAGTATTTGGGTATAGCAGCCCGAGCAGACTTACTGGGGCGGGACACTGGCCATGGGAAACATCTCCTTACCCACTAGGTTCATCTTGGCACTGTAACTCCCAAAGTACCGCTCATCCGTGTTGGGTGTGTGGCACTCATACTCCCCCGCATCCCGGGCCTGGAGGTCGGTGATGTGCAGCAAGGCTGAGTTCCCCTGCACTCTCTCCACATAGATCTTCCCCCCACGGACTCGCTGGGTGTAGATGGCGTAAGGGAAGGAAGAGTCCACCGTGCTGACAATTTGGACCTCGCGCTCCGGGGCGGATGGCAGGTAAATGGACCACTGGAAATTCTGCTCAGACGGCCCCTGGTAGCCACTCACGTTGCACCAGATGGTGATGTGGGAGCCCTCCGTGCGGTACAGGGGTCCTTCCTGGACGGCGACATGTCGCTGTGCCGACACTACACCTGTGGGGGACACACGGACATGCTCGCTTACTTCTCAGACCAAAATGCAGAGTAGGCAGTGATCTTCGAAAGGGTTTGTGATTTGTATGACCTGATCATATAAATAGCTTGCTGGCCCCTTCTGAGGTGCTCTGCGATTTGTAAATATTAATTAAAACACTCTGCGGTTAAGCTCTGTCCCTAATTTGCATGTATGGAAATCTGACCATGCAAAGTCGCGGTTCTGTTACTTATTCAACGGCTGAACCCTAGGAAATTTCATTTAGTCCCTCTGTTTGTCATTTGTGTAGCAGTTTTATATGTATTTATTAATGCCATTTATAAAGTTTTTAATAAAATGAGCACAAAACGTTGAATCCTCGACACCCATTCCGACGAAAAGAAATAAACAGTCTGGGCCTGTAGGTCGGAGGTAATCCTGGGGCCCTCGTTTTGGTGCTGGACCCTCTGTACTGGGGCAGTGGGGTGGGCAGAGCCGAGCTCCTGCAGGCAACTGCAGCTTTAAGCTGAGTGCACACGAATGTGGAAGTACGTGCAGGGCCGAAGCATAGCCCTGCTGCCCAGATGCCCACATACTGGCAGTGGGGGTGGGGGGGGGACTGACAGTGTAGACCCGCCCTTTGGGATGGTGGCTCTGATTCCCCACCAGTCCCCCTGCCTTCTGACCGGGCTATGCTGCTCTGGGGTCACCTCTGCTCACCTTCTCCGTGTTCTTCTTAACACGGTCTCCCCCATAGACTCGGGAGCGAGGAAATATGTTGAGTTTCATTTCTCATTCCATGCCTACAGCCTGAGCCCTGGAGCAGGGAGAAGGGGGCACACCCCCGTGGCCTTCCTTCCCCTCAGCAGCAGCTGGGCATGCCAATGAGGTGCAAGGGGCACGTGAGTTCCAGCCACGGCTCTGCCAGCAACTGGGACTGGCTGTGTCATCTTGGACAGGTTGCTTTTCCTTTCCGGACCTTGATCCCTTCATCTGTAAAATGATTTCTAAGAAGGCTTGGGAGTGGACCAGCACATACGTCAGGGCTGGCTTTGTCACTTACTAGCTGTGATCTTGGCTAAGTTACTTAACCCTCTCTAAGCCTCAGTTTCCTCATCTGTAAGACGGGGATAATAATAATGTGTACCTCACAGAATTATCAAAAAGACTCCGTAAGATAACATCTGCAAAGCCCCTGCCACAGGGTCTAGCCCACAATTACTCTTCAATATAGGGCTGCTAGCTAAAAACCCCTCCTGGCTGGAATATTCTGCAGCTCTGGATCCACAGCTTTGGCCAGGCATCACCCCAGGACATTCCAAGGGCCTCTGGACAATGACAGCATCTCTGGGCCACCCACCTCCACCCACAGCTGCAGCCCACTTCCACCATCCATGAAAGCTTCCCTTCTCCCTCTCCAAAAAGGAATTGCAGCTGCCCCAATGTAAACCTGTCTGTCGGAGATCCAGCTGGTGAAAGCCGGGACAGCTCAAGGACTGCGATGCAGCTCTAGGGCCAGTCCGGGGCTGCAGCTTGGGGGAGGGGGGCAGTGTTCGGGCCTTATCTACCAGATGATAGACTTCACCACAGACCCTACAAGGAAAGGCCTGTAATTCATGGAGAACCTTTTCTCCCAATCAAAATCTTACCTGGAATCCCATCCTGGCTTCATGAGCAGAAACCGGGAACTGAACAAATTAACGGTGGGAACCAAATCAACAGATCAAAGTGGTATGTGAATTTAATTGATCCATCCTGGTTGACAGCATTCATTACTACGTTGAGAGTCACTGAGAAGACAGCTCATTACTTATTTTCAGTCTGTGAAAATTTGGTGTATAACGTTTTGACTATGTGTACTCTGTCTATGACAACTTAAAATATCTATATGGTGACATTCTGAATCAATTGTTTGCACTACTCTAGAAACACAGAACTCTGAAACAATTTAACTACATTCATAACATTTAGGTCTCTTCGTATTTCCGTGTTTTGTGACACAAAAGCCACAACCGCTCGTCCCCCGCCTCCAGGAAGGCTGCTAGAGGCAAGTCAGGAGCCAGCTTCTTCAAGGCACTACCTCTCCACCTCGGATCCATACTGGAATCACCCGGGGAGCTTTACAACATAGCAGGGCCTGGCCCCCACCTGCCGTAACTGGTCTGGGGTACAGCCTGGGCGTTAGTGTTTCTAAAAATTCAAACGCATGGCAGGGTCGACAACTGCTGCTTTCATGGGTCTCTACATACTGGCAACCAGGTGTCCAAATTTTAGAGAACGTCTCCTAACTTAAAGCTCTCAGTAGCTTTAAGCTCCTTCCTTCTGCAAAGACTCTCCATGAATTTGGGTCAAGAGAGTTTCATTCTTCTCTAGTGAATGGGAGCAGTGGAGGCCCCGTCAGATCCTGGCTATTGTGAGGCAACCAGGGGCTTAGCCAGCCTGCATTCTCCTCACAGACCTTACCAAAGCGCTTGATTGTCAGATCACACACATCACCCCCTGAAAAGTAAACAGCGTTAAGTGGCCTCAATGAGCCAGGGCATCAGGGTCAAAATGACTTGTCCAAGCCAGAAGAAGGTTATAAACAGCCCTGTCAAACAAATAAATAAATAAACACCGGACTGGATCTGAACCACACACATTCAGCCGCACCTGTTCATTCGATATCTCCTTCATTTCTTTCCTGCCCCACAAAGGGCCTTTGACCCCTGAAAACAATGCCATTCTTAGAGAATGGACCCTAACACAGAAGTAAAAATTACATTTTCTTCTCAGTTTAATTCCCTTTCTACACCCCACCCTCCACATTTCCTATTCCTGGCACTGCCCCTCATTTTCCGAGACAGTGCTATGTGTTCAAAGAGACCCAGGTCCCCTACCTGGCCAAGGCATCCCCTGGCCTCACGGCCCCTTCCATCTCCCTTCTCAGCCTACAACAGAAGACTCCTCCCGGGCAGGGATTACTTTATTATTATTATTATTACTTTTTTTCAGTTTAAACATTCCTATACTTTTTGAATTACTTTGCAACAAGTACGTATCACTTCTGTAATTTAAAAAGAAAAAAACAAATATACACAGGATCATATATAACCGTATAAAAAGGACTGGACACAAAAGGCAGAAAAAAGAGTGGAAGACAAAAATAAGAGCAAAGAGCAAGGGCAACAAATACAAAATAGTAAGGTATATGGTAGATACTAATCCAACCATATCAGTAATCCCTCTGAATGTCAGTCAAGGATCTAAACATGCCAATTAAAAGACAGATTTTTAGAGTGGATCAAAACATATGACCCAACTCTATCATATCTACAAGAAATCCACTCTAAATATAAAGAACGCATATAGATTAAAGGTAAATGGAGAGAGAAAAATATACCATGTAAACACTAATCAAAGGAAAGCAGGAGTAGTTCAATTAATCTCAGATAGAGTGGATTTCAAAGTAAAAAAAGTTATCACTGACGATGAAAGACATTACATAATTCTCCACAAAGACATAACAATTCTTAACGTGTATGCACGTAACAGCAGAGCACCATACTAGATGAGGCAAAAACTGATAGAACTGCAAGGAGAAACAGATGAATCCACTAGCAGAGCTGGTGACTTCAATACCCCTCTATCAGAAATGGACTGCTCCATCAAGCAGAAAATCAGTAAGGACACAGCTGAACTCAACAACACCACCAATCAACTGAACATAACGGACATCTGTTGACCACTTCATCCAACAGCAGCAGAATACACATTCCTCTCAAGCTCGCATGGAACATTCACCAAAACAGACCACATTCTGGGCCATAATGCACACCTTAGCAAATTTAAAAGACTAGAAATTGCACAATGTCTGCTCACAGACCACAGTGGAATTAACCTAGAAATCTATAACAGAAAAATAACTGGAAAATCCCCAAACATGTGGGTATTAAACAACACACTTCTAAAGAACACCTGGATCACAGAAGAAATCTCAAGAAATATTTAAAACTATTTTGAATTAAATGAAAATGAAAGCACAACTTACCAAAATGTGTGATATGCAGGCAAAACAGTGCTTAGAGGAAAATTCATAAAGTCAAAAGCATGTATTAGAAAAGAAGAAAGATCTCAAATCAGTAATCTAAGTTTCCACCTTAGGAAAATAGAAAAGGAAAAGCAAATTAAATCCAAAGTAAACAGAAGAAATCACAAGAATCAGAGCAGAAATCATTGAAATTGAAAATAGGAAATCAATAGAGAAAATCATTAAAATCAAAAGCTATTCTTTGAATAGATCAATAAAATCAATAAGCCCCTAGCCAGGATGACTAAGAAAAAAGAGAAAGTACGGGGTGCCTGGGTGGCTCAGTCGTTAAGCGTCTGCCTTCGGCTCAGGTCGTGATCCCAGGGTCCTGGGATCGAGCCCCGCATCAGGCTCCCTGCTCAGCGGGAAGCCTGCTTCTCCCTCTCCCACTCCCCCTGCTTGTGTTCCCTCTCTCCTGTCTCTCTCTGTGTCAAATAAATAAATAAAATCTTTAAAAAAATTGAATAAATAAAATTTAAAAAAAGAGAAAGGACACAAATTATCTAATATCAAAAATGAAAGAGAAGACATCACCACAGGGCCCATGAAAATTAAAAGGATAATAAAGGAATCCTATGAACAACTCTGTGCCTACAAATTTGATAACCTAGGTGAAATGGATCAATTCCTTGAAAGACACAATCTGTGAAAACTCACACAACAAATAGATGATTTCAATAGACCTACACTTATAAAAGAAATTGATTCAATAATTCATAATCTTCCAAAGCAGAAAGCACCAGGGCCAGATGAACAAATTCTATTGAACATTTAAGGAGAAAAGTATCCCAACTCTCTACAATCTCTTTTAGAAAACAGAAGGAGATGGAACACTTCCTAACTCATTCTGTGAGTCCAGCACAAACCTACTACTCAAACTAGACAAAGACATTATAAGAAAAAAACAGACCAATATCCCTTATGACCACAGATGCAAAAATCCTCAACGAA